CACACTCCGGATTTTTTCATTTTAAATTCCTCAAAGATATTTTCTGTTTATCCTAAAAATAGGCAGGTCAGGAAGAAACCATCTAGCTATAACTACATAAAATTGATAGTATAGGCAATATAAAAATAACACTTTCTATACTTGTAGTAGCAATTTTCCTTTGGAAAGAATACTGAAATGTGAAAATTTGCTTTCAAAGAAAGTGACACTAAAAAGCAGCTTCATAAACTTAGGGCTGGTGGTGACTATAGTCCAACCCACACAACTCTCATTTTACAGATGAGGAAACTGAGGCCCAGAGAGGCAAGTGACTTGTTCAAGGCGTGTATGTGGTTGCTAGGTAGCAGGGTTGGGATTTTAAACCCGGTTCTGACTACAAATCCAGCATCTTTTTCTCTACCTTTTCATGACAGAATGATGAATGGTATTAGGAACAACACATGTGGTAGCGTAACAGCATACCTACTGACAATCCTAGTCAGTGGATCACAGGATTATAAGGGTTAGCTAAAGAGGGAAGATATTTATAGAAATCAGTATTCTACCTGAAGTGAATAAAGTAAGCTGATTTAAAAGCCTGAAGGTAAAGCAAATATAAGTCTACCTCCATGTCTGCTTGTATAACACTGCCCATCTGTTTATCTGAAATGCTATTTGATCTGAAGTTCATAGAAATTAATATTCCTAGCACTTAATAAAATATTACTACTTTCTAAATATACCTTAAAGTACAGCTAATCACACTAGTGAATAAACTCACAACTAGAATATGAATTTAAGGTACATTTTCATCATCTTGCCCTAATATTTCTTGATTAAGGACTATTAAAAAAACATCACCACCATATGGTATGTACAGCAGTTATTATACTCAAACCAGTGGACAAAATAGGTCTAACTCACACATAAAATATTTAAATGAACTTTTACAGTGAATATGTATATAAGACTGAAGTGCTATAGACACCTATTTAGCTAAATTAGTGGCAGGAGCACATGGGTCACTAACCTGAAAGGTCTACATCCTAGGCCAATCCAAGTTTAGATGTAGAGGAATATATGAAAATTTCTATTGGGGTACTGAACCTTACAAATGAGGGGAAATCTTCCATTTGTCTGTTGCTCACACAGGTTCCCCTCAATTAGCTTTAAATGGAGATTACTACTCATCTCTTAAAAAAAAATCAACCATAGTGCTGCTTAAGTGGGACCTTCCTAATCTCCAGAATCTTGAGACTGGACCTTACACAGGATTTGTCTACAGCCTGGTTGTCTCTTACTTCAAAGAACTGCGAGTCTGTAGCTGTTGTTACTCCCTCCATCTTAGTAGGCAATCTTTAAGAGTTGTTGTAGCACAAAATCTCATTGTCTAGACATCCACCTTATCTAGGCTAGTCCTCAGGAAACAAAGCATTCAGTCCATTAACAATCCTGTAATAAAAGCTTTTCCAGTTTGGTAAGGTTGCTTGAAAGTTTGTATTCTGCTAGCACACATGGTCTTCAAGAACTTAGGGTAGCCTCATTACAAGAGTACTTTGATTGGAAGGAAGTTTATTAAGTACCTACTAAGTATCCAGCAATGTGCTAAGCACTTTATAGATTTTATCCTATTTGATTCTCAAAATAACCCTAGGAGGTAGGTGCTATTGTTATCCCCTTTTTGTTGCTGTTTGTCTATCCTTCTCCAAAGAGGAAATGGAAGTAGACAGAGGTTGTGACTTGCCCAGGGTCACACAGCTAGTAAATGTTTGAGTTTGGATTTGAACTCAGGTCTTCCTGACTCCAGGCCCAGCAACTCTAGCCACTGAACCACCTAAATGCAACAAATTGAGGTTAGTCATCTCTATAATGAACACATGAAAGTCTTGAGCTTTTCTTGGAGACAAAGATGTCAATGTTCCTTTCTGCCAGTACCAATGGAATGGACTTTCCTCATAAAGAATGGATCAGGAGTACTTTGTCCAGAGGATTTTTTATATAGAAAGGGTATAAAACAGTGGTGTCAAACACGAATGGAAATGGAAGCCATTAATCTATACATAAGGATCTCTACCAAAACATATTGGCTTAGTTTCAAAATGTAACATTATCTATGTTTTAATGTACTTTTATTTATTTTGTTAAATATTTTCAAATTATATTTTAAATACTTCTGGTTTAGAATAATCCTGAAATGTAAAATATACCGAAAACTACCAACATATCAAAAAAAAATACAGTAATACAATACCTTCTACAGAGTTTTGAATTGCTGAGTGACTGAACAAAAGAATCCTGGTTAAAAATGTAAAGTTAGGATTAAAATGACTTGTCATCTTGTTATTTCATACATAACCAGCTTAAAATGTTTAAAGAAACTATCAGTGAATGAATAGGCTTTTTGTTACAGTAGCCCAATTTTTTAAAAAACAAACAAGTATCAATTATTAAGTCTTAGCTTAAGGTTTTATAGTTTGCTGGACTTTTTATTTCAGGAAGTTGGTAACTTGTATCTATACTTTGTTTCATCACTTTTATTGGCCTTAAAGTGAAATTAGATTTGCTTTTATAATAATAGCACTGCAAATACCTATGTCTATCATATTAGAAAAAAATCAAAATTAGTAAAATTATAGGAGTATATGTAAAAGGCCAGCTTATAATTCAGATACAATTATCTTAGAAAACATTAACAGTGACTAAAAAGCTCAGCCACAGAATTCTGAAAACTCACAAGGAATATGCCACATTAAGTCACATTACAGATGCTAAAAATGTGACATTTTATTTTCCATTTGGCTCAATTAAGTAAGTCTTTACCAGACATCCAGTACTGCAGGGCCCTGAGATACAAAGACAAAAACAAAAAGCAGGCCCTGCCTGTTTTAAGGAACTTACATTTAACTGTAACATAATATCAGAGCCTCTTATAGATAAAATTTAAACCAAACACATACCAAACATATAACATAGAATATCTGTGCTAATTCTTTGTTTAATATATACACGCATATATGGGAATAAATTTAGCAAAACCTTTGAAAGTCAATTTATGCCTGGAAGTATATCTAGTAGTTATTGTCATTTACATTTTTGAATTAAAAAAAATTATTCCGTTCATTTGATGGATAAACTGGTAAAGTTAGCCAGTGATGATGCATTTGTCATCTGTGATGACAATCTTCATCTTCTGTTGGTCTGACATGCCTATTTAGCTTCAGTTCTAGTTACTTTTTGTGCAAATATTTGTGTTCTTTAATGAGAAAGCTTTCTAATGAATAGCTCATAAACAAATGATTAATAAAAAGATAATACCAAAAAATACTTACACAAATCTGTTTAAGCCTGAGGTTAATAAAACTGTTACATAGAATGTGCAAAATGTGGTTGGCAGCATTAGCTAAAATAATTCTACTTATCATACTTAGCAATCTGATCATGCACAATCAATTGTTTTTCCCCCTATATTTATTCACTGATTTCTTATCAAATATTAGATATATTTTCTCACTTTGATCCAGCTTTTTCTAAGCCCTTCAATCACTGAAATGTTCCAATATTTTTAAAGGTTAAAAAAAATCAACAGTGGTGAGCAACTCAAACTCCAGTTTCAGCATCACGAATCACTCAAAGCTACAAACCCTAACTATTTTTCAAGAGAATAACTGACCAGCATCCTCAGAGAGCTGGAGAATCTTTTCGTGCTACGAACAAAATCTAAATGACATCTTCTCAACGACCTCCAAATGAACTATTCTGAAGTCAGCAAGGTCCAATGTAGAAAAGGCCAAACTATCAGAAGTCCAAAATATGGGAAAGTTCTAGTTTGGGCTGATAAATGAGAACCTGTGTCTTAAATTGATAACCAGTTCGCCTACCCTTTTCCTTTGCCCAAGGAAGCCCAGGGCATTCTCTCCAAGACTAGGCTCTTCGAGCAAGTTTGATCAGCTCAAAATGAAAGGCGGGGGTTGGGGGGTGGGCAGTCTCGAAGGAAAGGATGGGGCAAAGACCAGCTGGTGCACGGACTCATGATGGCCTGGGCAAAGCTGGGACTCTGGATGGGCTGTCCCGGAGCCTGGGATGGGCAGGTCCCCAAACCATAAAGGGGAGACTCCAGTTAAAGCAGGCAGGCCCCTCTCTCCAGGGGAAGCCGCTCACGCGCAGCGGGCCATCCCCACTCCCGAGGGCCCGCACCTGTGGATACGGAGCCTGGCCAGGGAAGCGTGCCCGGCACCCGGCGCCAGGCCCTTCCCGCCACTCCCGGATGGCTGGCGGCATGCAGGACCCCCGGGGTCCTGGGGAGTGAGGAGGGGCGGGCGGCTAAGAACCGCTCTTTACAGCCCTCACTCCTCCGGGGCTCGGCTCCAGCTGCCCCCACCCCCGGACCGTGGGACTGGGGGAGCTCCCCGAGAGCCCCTTTCCCCCGCCCCCATCTTCAAGCTTCGCCCTCCGTCAGGCCCCAGGCCTCCCACCCGGCCGTCTCAGGCTCTCCCTGCCACCCCCAGGGACCCCCAGCACGACAGGAATGGTCTGAGGACGTCCCGGTCCCTCAGCCCGGTCCTGTCCGAGCCTCAGGGTCCGAGAGTTAACCTGGGTTGGGGGGGCTCGAGAGCGGCCCAGACACCCCACACTCACCATCCTCCCGCTGTCTCCCTCCTCCTCCTCCTCCTCCTGCCTCCCCCGTTACCAGGGGCAACTGCGGCGGCGCCGCCCGTCTTCTGCGCGGGCACCGCCCCCGACGTCCCGCCGCCGCCACACGCACAGCGGAGTTTGGGGCGGAGACACAGAGGAAGGGAAAGGAGAAAGGGGGTCCCCCCTGCCCCGGGTCCCTTCCCCAAAGAGCGCAAGCGCACAGAGACGCGGTCCAGCCCGATCTGGGGCTAAGCCCTTTTCTGCGCAGGCGTACTCCTTTTTCTCCTTTAAGCCCGAGAGGGCGGGGGTGGGGGGAGAAGTAGGTGATGGAAAATTGCCCACGTGGCCAACCAGGGACAGCCCCTCCTATGATTGGTCAGGAAGCAGAGGCGTGGGGGGCGGAGCCGAAGGGAGGCCGAATACTCCTGGGAGGGGTGGCTGTCTTTGTGAGCGCGCTTTGCTTTCCAGTGACTCTGTTGACGTCTGGCCTGGCTTCAGGTTTGACTTTCTTGGAGTAGTCTAGGGGCCAGGGTGGAGGGGCGGCATTGATTGTTCTGACTTTTCCTGCGGACTTCAGTGCCTGGCTTTTAGTAGTAGGGAAGAGGAGTTCCTTTCAGCAGGTTCAGGGTGTTCAGACGTCAGGTGTGGTGCCTACGGCTGAGTTCCCATGTGCTGCGGCTGCCGCGGGGTCAATATGGCAGAAAAAAAGGGGCCCACGTTGGGAAGGTTGGCAGTACTCTTCCAGGCAGCCCCTTGGAAAAGAGGCCGCAGTTCCCCTCCCCGCCCCCCCCAGAGGCAGCCCAGTTTCCCCCCTTGGCACGGGCGGAGAAAGACCTCTACTGCGTTCATCCAGTCTCTCCCCCACCCCACATCGCAGAGCCCTGTACTGGGTTGAATCTCTCTAGAGGTTGGGGCGCAGAAGGCGCCGTCTTAGAGCTCTCACTGGGGAAAGGCAGGTTCCTGGAGGGTAGGGACTGACACCTGGCAACTGCCTGAGCTTGGATCCTGGGAGCCTCAGATCTCTACAACTCCCCAAGCACTTACCCTGGAGGCCAGTAGATGCTACCGCAGCTCTGGTACTGATAACCAGGGTGCCTCCTTAGAATACTCATCCCAGGATTGAGGTGGGGGTCTTCCAGGGCAGCTTCAAGGGCCAGAACAACTTCGTATTGCTTCTTGCCTGTTTGGAATGGGGGAGTCGATCTGTAGTGAAGATATGGCTACTTCAGAAATGCTCCTTCTAAGCAGTCTGAAGCTTTATTAAAACTAATGACATTTGCATAGTGCCTCAGTGTTCACAAAGTGCTTTATTGCCGTTCAATTTTGTCGGAGGCTTCCTGACCCAATGGGCCATACTTGTCCATGGGGTTTTCTTGGCAAAGATGCTGGAGTGGTTTGCCATTTCTTTCTCCATTGGATTAAGGCAAACAGAGTTTTAGTGACTTGCCCAGGGTCACACAACTGATAAGTATCTAAGGCAGGATTTCAACTCAGGTCTTCCTGACTCCAGGCCCAGACCTCTATCCACTGAGACACCCGGCTGCCTCTTTCACAGAGTGCTTATATTACTTGATTTGATGCTCATATAACCTGGTGAGGTAGGTGGTACAAGTATCATTATCTCCAATTTTCAGATGAGGAAATTGAGTAACAGTCATTTAGCGACTAAGGTACAGATTCGATGTAGCAGAGCTAGTAACTAACAAAGCAGGGATTTAAACCCATGTTTTCTGACACCAAATAAGTATTCTTTCTATAACAACATAGCTGTCTCTTTGGAGGAGTAGAAATAGCTTGGGTTTAGAGGTTTTAGGAAGCTATGTGTCTTTAGAGTTCGTAGCTGTAGGATCTTCCTCTGGTCACCTTCTTTAAAAAAAATTAGTGATATATTTTCTTTTTACATCACCTACTTTTTGGTGTATTCTTGCCTTCTTCCCATCCCCTTTCAGAAAACCATCCCTTATAATACTTAAAAAAACCAAAACAGTTCAGCAAAACTACCCAACATATTGTAAAAGTCTGATATATGCAGTGTTCCATACCTACACCTCATTTCTGCAAAAAATGGTGGAGGTGGTCACCCTCCTAGCCCCCATTTTGGGGGCAAGAAGGAGTCAGATTTTGATAGTAGTAGGCTTTCCTGTTTGGCTGGAGTCAATGTTCTTTGCCCACAGGATACCTCCTTAATTAATCATTTGTTTTGGATGTATTTGTAGAACTAGACTTCTGTGCTTTATGGTATGTAATGGTTTTTATTGTTGCAAGAAAGCTTTATTGTCAGCACTTAATTTCAGGGTTCAGGTTAGGCCCAAGATAGGAGAAGCTCAGGTCAGACTGGCGGGAAGGCCCAGCTTCTAGTCATGTTTCAGGCTGTCTCCAACACGCACTCACCCAGCTCCGCCTGGGGGTCACTTGCAGGTTCAGGGTAGTCAGGATCAGGGCAGTTTTCATGGCATCCAGGCTGTAGCCTTACTCATCTTGGGCAGGTTTCTGCACTGGCTGAAGGAGGATGTCTCCCTCTTCCCTCTTTTCTGTAATCGCAGAAAATGCTTAGCACCTATTTGTCCTTTGCAAACTCATGATTGGAAAAATTTTAATGCCTAAGGGAGGGTAGCATCTTCCTCAAACTAGAAATCCAGGGACAGTTAGGAATAGGAGGCTTATAGGTAGAGGTTGGCCAGGTGATTAACAGTGGCAAAGGTGGTCTCCAGACTACTGTCTCTTGTGCTAAAGAGATCATGGAAATTTCTGCTTCAAAATGCTTAAGATGTTCACACCTTGTTTACCAGAGTTGGTGGGTGTAAGTATAAGGTTGAATTAATAGCTTCATATCTCCCATTTTTGAGATTGTTTGGGCAAACCCTAACATCTAGATGTTTTTTGTTCAAAAAGAGGTACACACTATTAGTCACTGAGCCCAGCAAGGGATTGATGGTGAGCCATTAGTCACTCTTTGTTCCTTTTTCCTTGGTGTAGAAATGCCAAGGGTTATGTGCCTTCCTTTCTTACTTGCATAGAGCTTAAGGATGCTATGAGGGTAGAGTTCTTAGGAGGGAAGAAGAAAGTTATCTGTATTTTTTCTATCCAACAGAGTCTAAATATAGGCATCTCACATTTCTTTTGAGCTAGTGCAATTCTGCTTCGATCATAGAGTACAGCACCTTCTTTGATGCAAGCACACCATGCTAGGTGGTCTTTTGACAGTGTCTCCCATGTCAAACAATCGATTCCAAAGTTCTTTAGAGAGACCTTGAGAGAGTCCTTGTATTGATTCTTCTGACCATCATGTGAATACCTTCCTTATGTGAGTTCTCTGTAAAATAGTTTTTCAAGCAAATGTACCTTTGGCATTGAACAATGTGGCCAGCCCATCAGAGCTGCACTCTCTACGGTAGAGTTTGAATGCTTGGCAGTTTAGTTCTAGAAAGGATCCTTTACCTGGAAGATGGTCCTCTACCAGAGAGCCAATGTGGCTTCAGAAAGGGCTGAAGAATGGCCAACATGGTGTTTGCTGTCTAACAACTTCAGGAGAAATGCCAGGAGCAGAACAGAAGTCTGTATACAACATTCATTGATCTGACCAAGGCCTTTGATATTGTCAGTTGTGAGGGCTTATGGAAAATTATGTCAAAATTTGGTTGCCTGGAGTTTATCAATGTTGTACATCAATTTTATAACAGCATGCTTGCCCGGTTTCTGGATAATGGATGCTGCTCTTGTGCTTTCCCAATCACCAGTGGAGCGAAGCAAGGCTGTGTACTTGCTCCCATGATTTTTAGCATGATTTCAATAATGTTGTCAAATGCCTTCATTAAGGACAAACACATGGCATCAAGGTCAGCTACCACACTGATAGTAAATTATTTAACTTGAAAAGTGCATAGTTCTTTTAATTAAAAAACAGCACACAGTGGAGTTCAGCTTTCTTCCAGTGAACTTCCCAGCAACTTCTCCGGTATTTTCTTCGGCCAATCCACAAAGCAATGGCTTTCTTCCAAGAACAAAGAGAAGCCTTTCCCCTGGCTTCTTCACAGTTTTTTTTTTCCACCACTCTTAATGTCTCAAATCAGAGACTAGTGGTCAGTGACTCTTCTTTCCACTATGAGATAAAACTTACCAATTTCACATCTCTGCCAGTTATAAAGCCAGTAGTCCTTATTTAATCTTGTCATACTTCAAACTGTTACTGGACTTGCCACTTTTTCAGTTATCATCTCTCATACTCTAAAAACAGTAACATATAAATGAGCTGAAGGAACATAATGCTTTGTAGCCATTGTTATCTCAGCCATTTCTCTGCACACAAACAGGTACATTTGTCTGAGGGGCAGTCCTCTGTTTTGGTCTCTTAATTGTCTGTGTCTTTTCACATTTTATCTGAGAAACTGTTTCCTCAGAAGTGAAGTTTATCCATTTTTTGTATGCAGCAGTTCTTTTTCAGCCTCCCTTTTTTTTTTTTTATCATTTTTTACCTGAGGCAATTGGGGTTAAGTGACTTTCCCAGGGTCACACAGCTAGTAAGTGTCAAGTGGTGTCTGGTCTGATACCAGATTTGAACTCAGATCCTCCTGACTCCAGGGCCAGTGCTCTATCCACTATGCTACCTAGCTACCCTTCAGCCCCCCTTTATTAAACAAATTATTTTTAACATTTATTTTTAGAAAATTTTGAGTTCCTAATTCTCTCCCTCCCTCCAAGTCCCTCCCCAACCCATTGAGAAGGCAAGCAATTTGATATCAATTATACATGTGAAATCATGCAAAATATATTTCTGTATTGGCCATGTTGCAAAAAAAAAAGGCAGGAAAAATAAAGAAAGTGAAAAAAAATTATACTTCAATCAGCTTTCATTCTGGAGGTAGATAGCATTTTTCATCATGAGTCCTTTGCAGTTGTCTTGGATCATTATATTGATCAGAGTAGCCAAGTCTTTCATAGTTGATCATCATTACAATATTACTGTTACTATATACAATGTTCTCCTAATTTTGCTCACTTCCCTTTGTATCGTATCATATAAATTTCCCCAGGCTTTTCTGAAACTATTCTGCTTGTCATTTCTTGTAGCACAATAGTTGTTGTTCAGTTGTTTCAGTCATGTCAGACTCTTCATGACCTTGTTTGTGTTTTGTTGGCAGAGATACTAGAGTGATTTGTCATTTCCTTCTCCAGCTCATTTTACAGATGAGGAAACTGAGGCAAAGATCACACAGCTAGTCAGTGAGGCTGGATTTGAACTCAGGAAGATGAGCCTTCCTGACTCCAGGCCCAGCACTTTATCCACCAAGCCACCTAGCTGCACAATAGTATTCTGTCACAATCATATACCACAACTTGTTCAGCCATTCCCCAATTGATAGGCATTCCTTCAATTTTCAGTTCTTTGCCACAACAAAAAGAGCTACTCTAAATAGTTTTTTACAAATAGGTCTTTTTCCTTTTTCTTTGATCTCTTTGGAATACAGACTTAGTAGTGGTATTGCTGGGTCAAAGGCCATGCACAATTTTATAGCCTTACTTCCAAATTGTTTGGGCATAGTTCCAAATCTTCTCTGTCCTGGCCCTTTCAGCATTCACACTGTTGACATGCCAAATGGGCAGTACCTTACATTAATATATAGAATTAATATAATATCTTAATTAATACCTTACATCAGTATATAGAACATAAAAAAGAGAGGATGGGGAACTAGGCCCATGATTTCATTAGTATAGGAAATTCCATTTACCAATTCAGGTAAGCATCTTCTCTGCAACTTAGTCTTAGAGAATAAACCCAAATAAATACCAAGTAATTAAAATACGAGAGAGTTTATGAGGGAGGGAAATGACAATTGGGAGCATCAATACATTTTTCATAAAGAAGTAATATGTAAATTATGTCTTTAAGGCAGAGGAATTTTTTGAGTTGGAGGCGAGGAGAGAGTGCATTCCAGGTATGGAGATGGCTAATATAAAGGAATAGAGTTGGGAGATGAAGTGTCCTGTTTGAGTCACAGAGAGAAAGCCTGTTTGGCTTGATCACAGAGTTTGGGATGAAGGGTAATATACAATGAGACTTGAAAGATAGGTTGGGGCCAGGTTGCAAAGGACTTTAATCGGCTAATGTAGAAGATCAAATTTGAGCAGAATATGACAGTTGAAGACCAGGGTAGTGGGGAAGGACAATTAACCACTTCGTGCATTAGAGTCTAAGTAATATTTTGCCTTCACTAAAGCCAGGGGTGCTTATGGCTCAATGGGAGTGGTTTTGAACTTCCCAAAGAAAGATTTGGATTCTACTTATCTTGTCTTTTACAGGAAGAACACAGGCTATTACTCTTTTGACCCCTGGAAGGAATGTAGAAGGTCTTGTTAGTTAATAATAGTCCTTCACAATAGTAGTTCTTTAGCCATAAATAAATGAGATAGATATCTGTGAAGGAATATGGCTGGGAAGGGAGTGGAATCAGAGTAGACTGCCTGGGAGGGTGTTTTATGTCAGCAACTCTAGTGGTTGGTGGAATTTGGGGAGAACAACATCCTGCTTGTGATTCTCAATGCCTACAGATTGGAAAGAATCTAGATTCTGACAACCTACTGGGAGTATTAAGTGGTCTTCCGTGGGTGGTCTGGCCTGGATTGAGCAACCCCTGTGGCCCTGTGATCCTTGAATCAGCCCAAAGGATATTTGGCCAACCATATCTGTCTCCCTTAACTTTTTCATCTTTTAAGTTAGGGGACGTAGACAGGAGCTCTAGGAGATTGAAGTATTCTTGCTGAAAGGTCACAGCTTTATGGTAATAGGATCTAAGGAAGGCACATAAAGTTCTGGCCATCCCCCTCACTACCCAGTACCTGATCTGTTCTTAGAAATGAAAGGTCAGAGAGGGGAAGTGGGCTACCTCTCCGAGGGCCTAAATCCATTCCCAAAATGAAACTAGGAAGATGCTATTCTCATAGGCAACTATGCTGCTTTTGGACTATAGTTTCTTAAACTGGGAGTCCCTGAACTTAAAAAAAAATTTTTGATAACTGTATTTCCATATAATTGGGGGTCTGGGGGTAAATTTATGTATTTTTTTTCTCATTCACTTTAAAAACATTCTGAGAAGAGATCTGTAGACTTCACCAGACTGACAAAGGGCTCCATGACACAGAAAAAATTACAGACTCCCTGCTACAGACTGTATCTGGAAAGTTTGACCTATAGACCAAGAATCTGTCTTGGTCTTGAATGCCTGAGCTGGTGATTCTTTCCTGAGCACCACTCCCATGTCTAGAACTACCTCTTGGGCAATGTTTCTGTTTTTGGAACAACACATTGGATGACTAGGGACTGGGGATAACATGGCTGGAGCATCAGATCTGGAAGGGACCTTCAGTATTCCCTCTGTTTTTACAAATGAAGAACCAGAAACTCAGAAGGAAAGTGCTTTGCAATTAGTAAGCACTTAGTAAATATTTGTTGAATTGACTTGTCCTCTGTGACTTAGTTACTCATTGGCAGAACTTCAACTAGAGCCCAGATTTCCTGAGTTTCAGCCCCAGTATTCCTTTCACTAGACCCTGGGAAGCTACACCTGTAGAAATTGTTGAAAATTTAACTGTTAACCACCGGCTGAAATGTTGAGTGCCTCTCATATGCATTGACTGGAAAACAGTGATAGCCCCTGTTGCCCAGAAAATACAGAAGCAACATAGTATGGTGAAGATCCTTGGATATGATTTTAAGTCATAGCTTTGCCACTTCCTAGCTTCATGACCTTGGATTAATCATCTAACCTCTCTAAACCTGTCTCCTCATCTATAAAATGGGAATAATAATAAGGTGCAGCATGAGGGAGTGGAAAAAGCTCTGAACTTGGAGACAGGAAGTGAACTTGATGACTGAGATCCTAGGGCAGACAGTTTACTTTTCTGAACCTAGGTTCCCTCATCTGTAAAACGGGTATAATACTTAGACTGCCTACCTTACAGGGTTATTGTAAGGAAAGTACTTGGTAAATTTTGAAGCACAATATAAATATCAGCTATTATAATGTCTCTGTCAATAATGTGAAGTGTTGATATGCCTACTTCTTCGATGAGTAAACCAGGAAGAGGAGGAATATAGGGTCTCTACCCTCACTGTGCTGACTATCTGGTTAAGGAGACAAGAGACACCCGCATGAAAAGTAAACTAGCCCTTCAAGATTTAGATAACATAAATGTCTCAGGCAGTTGAAACATTAAGTTATCAATGATGGCTAGTCTGACTATTTTATTCTTACTTCCATTTATGTAAATGTAATTCAATTCAACAAATATTTATTAAGCCCTGCTCCTATGAGACACTGTGCTAAGCAATGGGACTACACACACACACACACACACACACACACTAAATGCTTACACTTTGTTGTGGAGAAACAACACATGCACAGAAGATTAAATATAAAATATAAACACAGTAATTTCTGGGGAAATAGAGCTATTGGACAGTAGATTGTGACACCTCTCATAAGCACTTGTAATGTTCGTTTGATTCGTAGTCCTAAGGAAGAGCTGGAAAGGGGAACCCGCAGGGCACATGACCAGTTACTGTTCTGCCTGGTAGTGAAAGCAGCATAGAGTGGGGAGGTAGGGGGGAAGGGGGGGCCTGGCTCATTATTAGAGGGCAGAGGCATGTTTGAGGTACTCAGAAGGTAATCTCCTTGAGGGCAAGGACTATTTTTCATTTTGTCTTTGTCTCCTCAGTGTCTAGCCCAGTGCCTTTCTTGCCTGCTTGTTGACTTGGATTGAATGCGGTTCTTAGGTCACTTTTTCAGATGTCCTACATTTTCCAAACCATCCTGGTTCTTCCAGGTCAAGCTTAAGGCCCTTTTGCTTCATGAAGCCTTTCCTGACTGATGTAGCTCACATTGATGTCTCCCTTTTCTGAACTTAGTCTACAATGCATATATTCTATACCTTCTAGACCTTTCGGAGCCTTCTAGACCATTCAGATTACATTCAATCGATCAATCGATAAACATTTTCTTACACCAGTTGTGTGACTGGCATTGAGCTGGGGAAAAAGACAAAAGTAACATAGTTCTTGCCCTCAAGGAGCTGTATGCTTTTTTTTTGGGGGGGGAATGTACATATAATCTAGGTAATTTATCCGTGAGCATGGGGAAGAACTAACATCTGGATATCATTTGAGCTAAACAAAAAGGCCAGTTTAACTGGATCAGAGAAAATATGAAGAGGGGTATTGTGTCATAAGCTTGGAAAGGTGGGTTGGAGCCAGGTGTTAAAACGCTGGGTGTCAGACAGGAGTTTTTGTTTGATCCTGGAGGTACTAAGGAACCACTGGAGTTTATTGAGCAGGGGACTGACATAGTCAGAGTTGTCCTTTTAGGATTCTCATTTGGCACCTGTGTGAAGAATGCATAAGGAGAGATACTTGAGACTAATTAAGAGCCTTTTTGAATAGAATAGTGTAAGATTGTGCTGGGGTGGGGGAGAGGTTGAACTAGAGTGTCAACTGTGTAAGTAAAAAAAAAAAGAATCAGGTGTAAGAGAGGTTGTGGAAGTAGAATCAACAAGACTTGAGAATCGAAGGAGAGGGAAGATGTGAGTCCCTTTCTCTCTCTCCCAAGAACTTCCCTGGAGTCTTTCCCTACTGCCCTGGGGCAGGGGTACAGTTGAGAAATCCTTGAGCCTAGTGAGAGGAGTGTCTTGGGCTGGTGTCTTGTATCTGTCTCAAGACTACAGATCTGTTAAAATGCTAGTGGGGACTGTACAAACCTGAATCTGTAAACCTGGGTGACCAGAAAGATGGTGGTACCTTGACAGAAATAGGAAAGTTAGGAAAAGGGGTAGGCTTAGGGGGAAAGATACTGAGCTCTGTTTCAGGGAGGCTGAGTTTGAGGTGTCATGAGGACATGCAGTTGAAATGCCTGAGAGCCAGTTGCTGATGCAGGGCTGGAACTCAGGAGAGAAACCAGGGCTGTATAGACAGATCTGGGAGTCAGCTGAACAGAGGTAATGATTATATCCATGGGAGCTAACGAGGTCACCAAGAGAGGAGGGATAGAGAGAAGAGGGCCCAGGGCAGAACCTTGGGGAATACCCCAGTTAAGGGGTGGCATATGGAGGTGTTCTAGCCAAGGAAACTAAGAGAATAGCCAAGAGAGGGCAGTCCATTGCTATCTAGTTGTTCCCTGTCTGTGAGCTAGACTGAATTCCCTTAGGGCAAGATTGAGTCTTCTGTTTCCTCTTCAGAATGGTCAGGAACAGGGCTGAGACTAGCAATGGGGGACCAGGAAGAACCTCTTGGGTTTCCAGCATGGTATGGGGTGCTAGTGCTGGTGGCAGTGATTGATATTTGGATTATCACCTCTGAGAAACATCCTCAGTGCCCTCTTCATTCCCCCATTTCCCAGTTCCCTGGTTCTGTGAGAGACGAACATGGAGGTAGATTTGTCCACCTTCAATATTGATACTCCCCGATGGGACCAGAGTACCTTCATGGGTCGACTGAAGCATTTCTTCAATATCACGGACCCTCGTACGGCTCTTGTTTCAGAGGGGACATTGGACTGGGCCAAAATTATGGTTGAAAGTAGCCGGTGAGTATCCATCGGTCCCTAGCAGCTCCAGACTTGTGGCAAGGGTTGGGCCTAGCTGGCATTCTGGATAGTTAGAGATGCCTAGGGTGTGTGTGAGTGTGTGTACTTTGGGAAGGTAAAAGAAAACAGACTGGTTGGGGACTTTTTCTGGGAGACTGACTTTTTTCTTCCCCTGGCTTGGGGGCTGAGGGTTACAGGCATGGTGCCGTACCGCCAGGCACCAGCCAGGACCAGCTGCTGTATGCCAAGAAGCTATACGACTCAGCCTTCCACCCTGACACTGGGGAAAAGATGAACATGATTGGGCGGATGTCATTCCAGGTGCCAGGAGGCATGGCTATCACAGGCTGTATGCTCCAGTTCTATAGGTGGGAATGGCTGGGGGTGGGTCGGTAGGGAGGGCTTGACAGGGACCCCAGGCCATTTTCCCCGTTCTAGATAGAGTGGGGAACGGCTGTATCCTCTATTTCACTCTCTAGCAGCTTTAGAGCTGTTGGCCCCCACCTGGGATGGGGTACTATGTTCTTGCCATCAGATGCTTGACTCTTCCTCTCCACCCCTTTTTTTCCTTTGACAGAACTGTGCCTGCAGTGGTTTTCTGGCAGTGGGTGAATCAGTCCTTCAATGCATTGGTCAACTATACCAACCGGAATGCAGCCAGCCCTATATCAGTCAGGTAGTGACTGACTCACTCCCAGCACCTTGGGGCTCACTGCTGCTAAAGTTTCTTCACAGCTCCCTCATTGATTCCAGGGATAGAAGATCCCCAGAGTCTGTCCCAGTAGGGATAGTTGGAACATATCTAAACTAATGCTCTTTATTCTTCCTCCACCACTGTGGAAAAGAGTGTTGAGGGCTGACATCTTACTCCCATCTCAAGGCTAACTTTCTCTACAGCCTGGTTTCTGTGTCTTTGGAGACTCAAGGCTCAGGGGCCAACTTTCATCACATCTCGCTCCTAGCATCTCTTTCCTCCTCTAGGCAGATAGCTGTATCCTACTTCTCAGCAACCACCACAGCCCTGGCCACTGCCCTGGGGCTTAACATGTACACCAAGGTATGCCATGGGTCCATGGGCTGCCACGAGGGGGCAGCAAAGTCCAGGGGAAATGTCGGGTGGGTATACTGGTGGGGTTACTACAAATGAGATGCTGCTGGGGCTGGAGGATAGGTGTTGGGGTAGAGGGCCAGGGGTCCCTTTTGTTAACCCCATGGGGGAGAAAAGGAATGTCTGGGGCTTGATTTTTCTTCTCTGTTTTTATATGACCCTTGGAGTTTGTAGATCCTCACACCTTCCTCCCTTCTTGCATAGGCTGACATCTCCCACTGTCCCCACAGAAAGCCCCACCGTTGCTGGCCCGATGGGTACCCTTTGCTGCCGTTGCTGCTGCTAACTGTGTGAACATCCCTATGATGAGGCAGCAGTGAGTAGCATTCTCCTTCATGTTTCCTTTCTTGGTCCCTCCTCAAATGGTCATGCATAAAGTTTTCTGCTTGTATGTTATATTCTGCAAGTAGTAAGCAAGCGCCTTGAGAGGAAGGACTGGTTTTTCTTTTGTTTTTGTATCCTCAATGCCAATACTTAGTGATCATCCATCTGTGTCTAGGGAGCTCATCCATGGCATCAGTGTGACTGACAGGAACTCTCAGGAGTTGGGTCGATCACGGGTGAGCTAGAGGCATCTGTGTGTTTGGGGCTGAAGGGGGGGGGAAGGGAGGAAGCCAGAATTCCTTCCACATTCTAGGCATGTGCTGATTACTGAATGTGAGTAATGATTTATACCTCTTTTCTTCTGCTTTTTTCTTTGCTTATGACTTAGCCTCTTTAATTCTTTCTGCTTTCATGCTTGGCCATCCATAGGGCCTTTTCTGGGGATTATGGCTGGCCTTTGGGTGGTGTTAGATTTAGCTGTGGGCAGCTGGGTGATACAGTGGATAAAGTGTCAGGCCTGGACTCAAGAAGACTCATTTTCCTGAGTTCAAATCTGGCCTCGGATACTTAATAGCTGTGTGGCCCTGGGTAAGTCACTTCACCCTGTTTGCTTCAGTTTCCTCATCTGTAAAATGAGCAGGAGAAGAAGACAGCAAACCACTTCTGTATCTTTGCCAAGAAAACCCCGAATGCAGTCACCAAGAGTTGGACATGACTGACTGAACAACAACAGAGGTGTAGCTGTGGTCTTCTAGTAAAGCTATCCCCTACACATTTCAGATTGGCTCTCTCAGGGCTGTTGTGCTGGTGCTTGATCCCTGCAAGTGTGTGGAGTGGGCTGGGATCTAGAGTCTTTGATGGTTCTTTCCTTTCTTCTCCCTGCTCTCAGAAAGCTGCAGTCATTGGCATCTCCCAGGTGGTCATTTCCCGAATCACCATGGCAGCTCCTGGGATGAGTAAGAATTTGACAGCCACCCTTTCCCTGGGAAAAACCTCCCTGGAGGGTGGGAGGACTGAGAATGGGGGTGGGGGTGGGACCCAAGTTTTACATTGTCGTATTGGTTTTGTTGGGTCCAGGGGAAATAGGCAGCTTTTTGGAAGTGGCAACTGAGGCCAGTTAGGTTGTTGAAGGTTTTTAAGAATTCCTTCCAGCCTTTCTCATATAGGACTTTGCCCTCTTGCTCTCTTCTTCCACATGTGGCCTGGGATTTCGGGTGGGGTGAAGAATGTGACGGTCAAGCTAGTTTCTAGTTTTCCCCCTGTGTTATTGAGACTTTGCTCTTGAGCCACCAAGAAAGGAGGCAAAGGAATGGTTAGTTCAGTAGTTGGATTTCAGAAGGGAATTTGGGATGCCCTTCTTGACTTTACCTTTCCTAATTTTGTTCCCTCTTTAGTCTTGCTCCCAATCCTCATGGAAAGGCTGGAGAAGTTGGCCTTCATGAAGGTGAGTGATTCACAGCACCACGGATTCAAAGCTAGAAGGAACTGGAGAGGTCATAAAGTCCAACTGCTTTGTTTTACAGATAAAGAAACAGAGGCTGAAAGAGGTTAGGGTCACATAAGTGTCTGAGTCAAGATTTGAACACAGGCCTTCCTAAATCCACTCTCCACCCTGCCACCACATTGTTGTTTCTCTCTCCTCCTCTCCCTACCCATTACCCCAAAGGGGACTGCACCTGGGATTCTTAATGCTTGTAATTCTTTCCTAGTTACTGCACTTAATCCCCTTCCTCTCCTTTCCTCTCCTCTCCTCAGCAATATATCCTAGGGCTCACAATAGAAAGATCTTCTGTATAACTCTTCTCCTGGTGTGGTTTCCAGCCTTCTTGTAAGAATGAAGAGAAATTTAAAAAATAATAAAGAATGAAGGGGTCAAAGGGTCTCCCTTTACTCCCACCTCCCCACAGGCTCTCTGTCCCTCCATTTCTGCAAGGAAAATGGTACCTGGGTCTGCTTGCTGATAGCTGGACAGAAAGTCACAGAAGCTCCATCCATCTATATGTCTGTTTTTCTTTCAGAAAATTCAGTTTCTGCACGCCCCACTGCAGGTGATGCTAGCGGGGGGCTTGTGAGTATTGCTTTCTCTGGCTTGTGTTCTCAGGCACCCTGGGAGGGACACTCAATCCACATTACAGACAAGTATGTGTGTTGCCAAGTTGTGTAACATGTCCTGATTTAATATTTTTGGAAAGCAAATGGTGTCAGAGGTGGCCTCCAGGGTAAAGGGAGCAATAGTTTCCCACCTGGAGGGGTCTCTCTGGACTGTCTGTAGAAATAAGTGGCAACTATTAACTCTCACAGTGCCCTTTAGCTCCATGGGCTTCCATAAAACTTTGCACTGAGCAGAGCTGGGTAGAGGGGGTTGGCAGTGACCTGACACTGGTTCAGCTAGAGCCATGTTGAGCTAGCCAAGCTTGTATAGCAAATTAAATCCATGGGTCCCTTCTTTCATATGATCTCTATTTCCTTGCTTGTCATCTCTCCTTTTACCATGCACTCATGCCCTTTAGGAACTTGAAAGTGACAAATTTCACTTGGGTATCAGAGTGAATACCTGGGTACTTGAGTGGAAGAAAGGGAAGGAAAGACACTTTGGTATTGATTGTGAAGGTCATTGGACCCTTGTGAGCCAGAGTTGGGAATGACTTTGTATATCCTTTCCTCTTACAGTCTGGTCTTCATGGTACCTGTGGCCTGTTCCATCTTTCCACAGAGATGGTAACTCTTCATTTTTTCTTTTGTTTAAGTGATTAGATACTTCTCCATTCTTGCTTGATGCCTTGGAGGTAGAGAGGGAATCATAGGAACGTAGATTTAGAGCTAGAAAGGGCACTTGAGGTAATCCAGGCACATCAAATAAGAAGACTGAGGCTTAGAAAAGGAAAATTACGTGCCCAGGGTCCTGCAGATAACATAGTAGAGCTGAGATTTGAACCTGGGTTCCCTAGTTCCAAATCCCATACTCTTTCTACTGCATCCTTTCCAATGCTTCATGCATGACCAGAGGTCACTTCAGACAAGGTCATCAGCTCAAAATCCTGTCTCCTTTATATTGTGTGACTGATAAACCAAAGCTCTTGGCTTTGGGAAGAATAATTATCTCCATGGTACATGGGCTGTGTAGCTAGTGTTCATTCCCATGGGACCAGGTAATAACAGGAAGTCCCTTGTCACTACACAGTCAGCAGTCACTTTGGCTTGAACTAAATAAGGTGGTCGATACTATATTTGCAGCTGAACAGTTACTGGCCAGGATGATTCTTCAGAAGTGTTCTTTGTCCACAGTTAGCACAGTCCCCTTTCCCTGTCCCCTCTCCGCCCTCCAACAGTGCTTTGTTTCATACCTGGATTATTAAAGGCGTCACCCTTCTTTTCTCAGTGAGATGGCAGTTTCACGTCTGGAACCTGAGCTCCAAGACTCCCTCAAAGCTAAGCATGGAGACCTCATATCTTTCGTCTACTTCAATAAGGGACTCTGAAGTATCTCCTTTTCATCTCCTGGCTACTGCAGCCTCTCAGAACTTCCTTCCTCCCCTCCCACTTCCCAAAGAAGCATAAAAGTCAGGCTGAATTGGAGGGTGGACTAGATTCCATCTATGCTCAAGCCCTGCTCTTCCCACTGCAGGTTGCTAAGCCTGTAGGGGAGAGAGCATGGAATAGTGACAGGACAGAAGCCAAAATCTGAGTGACCAACTATGAGGGCTTTGTTCCCCCAGACCCTACTCCAATCTTTTTTACGGCCTCCCTGTCACTCTGGGACATTATCAGCCTGTACACCTAGGGTCTCTGGTCCCTTATGGAGAAAGGATCTTCCAAGGTGTGGGTAAAGGGAATTAAGGGAGTTCCCCAAGGTTGTTTTCAAGAGAATGGGGGCTAGTACTTTGGAATTCCAGGTTATACTCTGGATCAGAGAGATTTACTTGACCAAGAGGGGCAGCAGAGAAATCTCCAAGGCAACCCTTCCTAGTTCTAACTACAGATATGCTGAAAAACTTATGGGTGCCTTTTTCCCATGTCTGACACTTAGTAGCAATGTGACCCTAGGAGAGTCATTTAACTTCTTTTGGTGTCAGTTTCCTATCATAAAAATACCCAAAGTATCTACCTCACTGGGTTGGGAGGATCAATCGAGAAGGTTTATTGCTTTGAAAACTTAAAGCATTCCATCAATGTCAGATTAGTATTACTTTTTCCATTCCTACTTCGATGGCCACTTTGTCTTAAATCTGCAAGGGCTGGTCTAACAATCCCGTGCAGATCGCTGGCTGCCAAATCCTAGCTTGCTGAAATCCCCTGGGAATGCAGGTGCTGAGGCTGGACTTCCCATGGCTGGGGGTTTATAGGTAGTGCCTGTGACCATTGACTGGTCACTAGGCAGGCTGGTTGTTTAAGCTGTAGCTGTGAGCAATCTCTTGGGTGTTTTTTTGCTGTTTTTAGGTGGAAACTCACCTGATCACAATTTTTTTAGTCAAATTTATCACCTGTGAATGAAAGCGCCTCCCAAGAGCCAGTGTAGTTGGGTAGATCTCGACTGAAACTTCTGGGCAGGAGTAGGTTGAGGTGCCATTTCCTAGTCCTGTCCCTCCCTGGCCTTTGCCAGAGTAGGAAAGGGAAGAATGATTCTGATGCAAACAAAAAAGACCCTTCACTCAAGTGCCAGTCCTCTTTCAGCCTTCCCTACCCTAGTGTCCCCACAGAGGCTGAGCTGCCTTGTTGGATTTGGGGGGTCATTTCTTAGTCCTCTGGGGCTAACACTGACAAGGATTTTGTCTCATTTTCTGTTTCTTGAGAGGATCTTACTGTGAATTGCATAAATCTTTTTTAAAATCTCTTCAATAAAAGGCTTAAACATCTCTTTTTATGGTTTGTTTGTTTTTTGCTAGGCTATGGCATTAAGTGACTTGCCCAGGACCACACAGCTAGTAAGTGTCAAGTGTCTGAGCCTGACTCCAAGGCCCAGTGCTCTATCCACTGTGCCCCTACACATCTCTTTTAAGTGTGATTCAGTCATCTCTTAGCATGCTTTGGCCCCCATTGGTTTATGGATTCTCTCAGGGTGGTGTGGAAATGTGCCTGAAGTCTAGAGCCTTTGCATCTGATATCGTTAGAAAGAGTAAAGGGAAAGAGCCTTGGGTGGGTTCTTGGAGCCTCCCACTTTTTCCTTTCCCCACCCTCAACATCCCAGAGAGTGAAGCATTGACTAAGCTGGGGTTTTGGTTTTTAGCAGATGTAGGAATAGAAAGATAGGCATAGCTTCAAGCCATCATAATGGGCTCTTGCCAGCACCTTGCTTCATATTAATTCTGATCCCAGGAGGTGATCCTTTATTTCCAGATATCTTTCCTAAACCATAGCCCTTCCCCAGTTCTCTCTACTAGCAGCAGGTATTTCTGCTCTAGTCCCTGCTCATACCCCGAGATTACTCTTGCTCCTATACTCAAAGCTTGCAAATATATATAATATAAAATTGTAATATATAATACATAAACATATAATACATATATAAATATCTATCTGGGACTTCATAAAATTCATACAGCACTTGATATGCATCATTTCCTTTGATCCTTAAAATAGGTAGGTAGTTGTTACCTTGACTTTACAGGTAAGAAAACTTGCTTAAAGCAGTAAAGTGACCTACTTTAAAAAAAAAACCAAAAACCTATGAAGTGGCAAAGCTGGAGTTTGAACCCAAGTTTTCTAAATATTATATAAAGTATTATGTAGTACAATGGGAAATTTCCCCCAGAAAAGTTCTGGCTAAACCTATTAAACTGTTTTTATGCTTGTCCTGTCTTGTCCTATCCTAGATCATCTGGATAAGACTCCCTTCCAAGAGACCTCTGGGGGGTGGGGGGCTGGGAGGAGGGGGACGGTGGGATCCCTGCCAAATCCAATTAGTGCAAAATGTTTGCCAAACCAAACTGCCTGGCTAAATTGGCTATTTATTTTCTGGCTTCCTAATGATGTTTACAGCTAGTCCTTTGTTAGGAGGATTAATTAACCCCACCAGGACAGAACAGGGTCCCCCTGTCGTGAAATGAGCCAGGACCCAGCTTGCTGGACCCTGCTCCCAGAGAGCATGATTTGTGGGGCTGGTAAATGTATTTCTAAGAAACTGGAAGTTGGAGAAGCAGCACTGTTGATACTTTTTCAGCTGGGGAAAGCAGGATGTTTTAGAGCTGAACTCTGCCTGGAAATTTCTGAGCCTAGGCAGAACTTCATTCCTGCAGAGGAGAAAGCTGTTTATTCTGCCTTGGCATAACTGCTCATGGGAAAGATGGGATTGGGCTTATTGTATATGGATCTAGAAGACAAATGTAGGACTAAAGCAGAAGTTATATGAGATAGATTCTGACTTAGCATAAGAAAGAGCTTCTAAATAATTAGACCAGCCCTACAGTGAGGTAGTAGTCAATTCCCAGCAATTCAGGTCCTCAGTGAGAAACGAGAGCTATTACATATTATAGAAGGAAATCAAATTTCAGAAGTAGGTTGGATTAGATGACATCTGAAGTCCTTTTAACTCAGATTCCATGAGAAGGAAACCTGACCCCCTTTGACAGCATCTTTTCTGAGACCCTCCTGTGCATGTTTGAGGTTAGTGGAAAGATCCTTCAATTCTAGTACTGGCTCTGCCATTTTAAATGACTGTGAGACCTTAGGCAAATCACTTCCCTTTTTCAGGGCTCCATTTTTTTGTCTGTAAAATGAAGGGAAATTTAAAGTTACTTAAATTTTTTTTAGCATTTAATAGTATTTAATTTTTTGCAATTATATGTCAAGATAGTTTTCAACATTCATTTTTGTAAGATTTTGAGTTCCAAATTTTTCTCCCTCTCTCCCTTCCCTTCCCTCTCCCCAGGACAGCAAGCAATCTGATATTGATTATACATGTACAGTCATGTTAAACATATTTTCACATATAAGTCATGTTGTGAAAGAAGAATCAGAACAAAAGGGAAAAACACAAGAAGGAAAAAACAAAACAAAACAAAAGTGAAATAGTATGCTTCAATCTGCATTCAGACTCCATAGTTCTTTCTCTGAATGCGCATAGCATTTTCCATCATGAGTCTTTTAGAATTGTCTTAGATCATTGTATTGCTGGGAAGAGCTAAGTCTATCATAGATGATCATTGCACAATGTTGCTGTTACTGTGTATAATGTTCTCCTGGTTCTGTTCACTTCACTCAGCATCAATTCATGCAAGTCTTTCCAGGTTTTCTGCATGTGGATAGCATTTTCCATTGTGTGTCTTTTGGAGTTGTCTTAGATCATTGTATTGCTGAGAAGAACTAAGTCTTTCAAGGTCAGTCCAACAGTGTGGCTGTTACTATGTACAATGTTTTCCTGGTTTTGTTGAGATTTAGGAGTTTAGGGGTGCTGGGACCCCAAAATCACAACAAGCGTGTCCTGTCTGAAAGAATTCAATCCAAGCTTTCTTTTAGCCAAAGACAAGATTTATTAGGACATCTGTCATATTAGGCAGATTCTTAAGGAGTCTGAATGTTAGTGAGCTATAGGCTAGATTATAAGAATCTCAGCACCTTAATAGAGACAAGATGGACCTTATATGCAGAAAGACAGAAAGGGATCTAGGAGTGGCCAAGCAGTCAGCAAGGACTGAGGTAATAGAATGCCAGGGACCTGGACCAGGTGGCCAAGGCAGAATGGAGTTTAGATAGGATTAAAGGTGGGAACTGGCCATAGGGAGGTAAGACAATAGAAAACTAGGCTAGGTTAAAGGCAACAGAGAATTGGGAGATTGGGTGTAGCCACAATGAAAGGCCAGTTGATGGGATTATGGTGTCAGGCAAATGCCAGAGATTTGGCTATGTGGGAAAGTCCAGTGTTTTTCCTTTCTGGGGTCCAGATCCCAACCTCATCAGTTCTGCTGATTTCACTCAGCATCAGACCATACAAGTCTTTCCAGGTTTTCCTGAAATCTGCATGCTCATCATTTCTTACATCACAATAGCATTACATTACATTCATATACCACAACTTGTTCAGCCATTCCCCAAGTGATAGGCATCTTCTCAATTTCTAATTCTTTGCCACCACAAAAAGATCTGCTATAAATATTTTTGTACATGTGGGTCCTTTTCCCTTTTTTATGATCTCTTTGGGATACAGACCTAGAAGTGCTATTGCTGGATTAAAGAGTATGCACAGTTTTATAGCCCTTTGGGCATAGTTCCGAATTACTCTCCAGAATGGTTGGGTCAGTTACTTTGAATTAAAATTTTTTTTTGATTCTCATCTAATATGGGGGGAGAGGAGATCAAACACTTCCGCCACACCCAATAGGGCTGCCTCTTACAATGGCCCTGCCCCTTCTGGTCTTCTTCCGCCACCCTCTGGGAATGGGAGAGGCCTTTCAATTGCTCCTGTCGCGTCCGATGTAGTCCGGCTTGCCCCTACTTTTCGTTGGCCGATGGTCTCCAGATGGCTGTTCTTGTAGGCGGTTCCGCTTTGATGGACAGGCGTGGGGATCAATGCTGGAAGAGTATGGGACCCAAGCCGAAGGTTGGAAGGGCTAGGCGTCTCCACGCCTGGGTGGGCCCAGGCCTGGGGGCGGTACTCTCAGTGAAGCGGGGCGGAGCCGGAAGTTGGGGCGGGGGATGAGAACGAAACAGGAAGAGGAGCAGGGAAGAAGGAAGAAAGGGGAAGAGGAGGAGGAGAAGGAGGAGGAAGAGGAGGAGGGAGGCTGTGGCGGCGGTGGAGGAGCAGGAGCCGGAGCCGGAGGGTGATGGAGAGGAGAAGGTTCCTGGGCGGCATGGCGCTCCTGCTCCTCCAGGCGCTGCCCACCCCCCCTGTCAGCCAGGGCCGAACCCCCTCAGGTAAGGGAAGGGGGTCCAGAGGGGAGGGGGACCACAGGACCACAGTGGGAGAGCGGAGATGGGCGCCGTGACGAGGGAAGAGAGGGGTCCTGAGCGGGGTCTGGGGGTGCTTGGGAAGGCAGTAGGACGAGAGAAAGGGCATCCTAAGGGGGTGCTCCTAGGGGAGGAGGTTCGAAGAGGGTATTGGGTATGTGTGCCCGGAGGGTGGGCTTCAAGGACCCGGGAGGTCCTGAAGAAGCTGTGGTTGCAGCGGACGGGAGCCTTTGAGAAAACTGGTGCTGGGGGGAGAGAGCAGCGCCATACTGGAGGAAGGGACCCTAAGGGGCACCCCCTGAGGTGGGACATTAATGCCAGGCTTTCGGGAAGGGGCTCTGAAAAGGTAGGGTTTGAATTCTAAGTGGAGCACCAGCCCAAGGGTGGGGGGAGGGGTTTCTGGGACTATAGATTTAGAGTTGGAAGGGAATTCCTCCTTAGAAGTCATCTAAGTCATACCCTGGTCTATCTCTTACCTCGTCTTAGTATCCTTATTTAACGGATGAGAAACTGAGGCCTAAGGAGATTAAGTGACTTGGCCGAGGTCACCACACTGGTAGTAAGGGCCACTGCCAGGATCTGAATCCGGTTCCTGTGACACCAATACTCCCTATGCTGTTCATAAGAGATCCTACCCAAAGATGCATTGGTGCCAGACCACCGAGTGGTAAAGACTCTGAAGGCGCACTGGTGCTTTATTAAGTGAGAGGAGGTCCCTGGAGGAGATATAAGTCCTGTTCTTACAGGTAGTATAGCATACAGTACTTGGTCATGAGTGGCTGTGGCTGGCATGTGAGCTAGCTTGGAGGTGAAGAATCCTTGGAGGGTAGGCAGGTTGAGCCCTTTAGGTAGCAAGAACTCTGGGTAGCAACTTTGGGTTGTGGAAAAGGATTGCTGCATTTCCATTTGGCATAAGGCTCTCAGGGCAGAGCTGCTGGTGCTGTAGGGTTTTTTGGGGAGAGGGAAATACTAA